CACCAGAAAGATGATTTTACAGTAGTTGTACAGTGAAGTCAAGGCATTGGAGGTATGAAATATATTGCTGGAAAAGTCTTACATATACCTTTCATTTTAGAGAGTCCTGGGGGGAATTCATCTAGATCCTATAGTCCTCAGGATGCCTCAGCCCTCCTGAAAGTGTGTTAGCATCTCCAGTCAAAGTGATCAATATACTGTGTCTCTCCATGATGGGAAAAGGACATGTTCCTTTCCTTAAAGCCCGCCTGACCCACCCCAGGGACCATTAGATTTTGCAGGCACAAGTTTGTCACATACATAAGCTTTGGGGGGAAATCTGGTGGAAGAAGCATATGGAAGTGCAGCAACAGACACCTCCAAATGGCCACGGCATCTTCTGGAACAAAACTGTCCTCTGCCTCAGCCTGCTTTCTGCTCGCCTTTGGGAACATCACTTGCCCCCTTGCTGTAGACCGTGCATGCCTGTGGTCTGATCCATCAAGCGAGGCTGGGTAAATGGTACCATGCTCTGCCAGTTGCTGCTTTTCTACTTTTATATTTTAAACCAAATGGTTACACTTTGAAGCATTTCTTATTAGGGAACCTCAACTTGTTGTTTCTGCTTAAAAGTGATAATCCCCCCTTAATACAAACCTCAAGTACCTATTTTAATGAAACCTTCAGATGAATATCAAAGAGCTATTTACTCGTATCTAATATTTTAATTAGATTATATTCTCAATTTAACCCATTAAACCCCCTTTGATGATCTCCATGTTTAGTGTTTAGCCCCAGATGCTGGAGGTAATGAATATTGGACCTTTGATTTAATGAGAACTTCTGCCTTTCCAGCCTGACTCCCTTTGTATCCCCCTTTTTTTTTATTTTCTGAGCTATAGAATTCAGTTAATTGAAGAAGTCTCTTATCACCACACATTAAGGAACCTAAATTAGCATCCCTTTTCTGATTAGAAAATGCAAGCAGACATTTCCTCTTTGATCTGAGGATTGAGTTGAAGTAGGCAACAGCCCTCTGAAAATGAGCTGATGGCCTTATTATTTGGCTGACATGCAGATGTGTCCATGTGGTGCAAAATGCTTAATGTCTTAATTGATCACCTTCCTCCCTATCTGTCATCCGACTACCTCTTAGAGCTCCCAGAAATGAGGGTGATCTTTCCAGGTGGGTGGTGTGCTCCATTTGGGGGGCTTTAATAGACAATGAACTTTTAGGAAACATTCACATACTAAACCCATGCTAACTAGAAGCCACGTATATGATGCTGCATCCGGGGGGGGGGGGGGGGTGTTATAGGTTTTTTCTATGAACACAGATTGTGATAAAAAAAAAAAAAGGGACATTATTTGCAGCATATGTGGAAAGAAAATCTTTTGATCTGCCTCAATACTAATGCAAATTTTCCCGGCACCTAACAGATACGGTGGCACAAAAAGGGACCATACAAGTAAATGATGAGCATCCATCTGCTTAAAAGCAAAGGCCAAAACTTAATGTCTTTCAAATTAGGAAGGCAAGGAATTTAAATAAGAAATAGGCCTTGAATTTTGCATTAAGTATTCAGGGAGAGATTGAGCTGGAGTAGAACCTGCCTGATGTAGTCCCACGGCTCCAGCTATCACAGTGTTACCGTGAGCACAGGCTGCCTTCACAGGGGCAGGAATTGTGTACGCCACCCAGTAGAACTCAACATGTACTTGGCAGGCTCTTTCTACTGCCACTTCTTGGTATTTTAGGTTCAGGAAGGATAGAAGCTGAAACCACCTTAAATTCTACTTAGGAGCAGTGCTGCTGCAATGAAACCACCATCACATTTCTTTCAGAGGTAACTGACGTTGGCTTCCCACCATCATCTCACAAAAGGTATGAAAGTCTGGCTTATAGGCTGCTGACTGACAGAAGCATATTAGTTGAACAGTTAAAAACATTAAATCAACCATGTTCCATCATTACATCTCTAAACACACACTGGCAAAGATGAGGACTGTAAACTAGACAAAATGATGTCTAACTTCTGCAGTCATTGAATCCTTCAAATAGGCATGAACAAGCTGGAATGTCCAAACAGCCAATGAGCCAAGCATTTGATCATTAGCACCAGGAACCAGTTCTGCATTAAATTACAATAGCAGAAAGAATATGCCTTTTTTAATTATCATTATTTTTGCATGTTGTCCAAACCTAAGTGCCCTTTGCATGAGAAGAAGCAGGCATGTGAAGAAAGGACCAGCTCTGCTGACTGCCTGTGTGGTGTGAGAAAGAGTTCTAGGTGGACAAAACCACAGTGATGGAGACAGGCAGTGAACCTCCACTGGTGACAGCTGGTGAGGGTGAGTTACAGCAGCCTGCCTTACAGAAGAGCCTGCTCTGAACAGAAGTGATGCTGAGCCCAAAACCTGGATAGAGCAGATGCTAAAGAAGCACCCAGCAGCTCAGCAAGAGCTTTGCATAATCAGGAGAGCAGAGCGGGCAGCTGCAGGTAGCACCATAGGGCTAGCTTTCTGTGTGTCATAGGAGCACTGAAGGGTTTGTTCCAGCAGTCAAAGCAGATCCAACAAGATACACCACACCAGAGAACAGAGAGTCTTTTTAGGAAAGCAATTGAGTGGTCAGCAGTGCTTTAAAGTCCCATGAAAGTCAGTGATGTTAAGGGCAGCAGACGGGAAAACGCTCAAAATCAAAACAGAGAGCCAAGGTTCATAGAATTATTTTATGCAGCGTTTTGTGATTTTCTTTAATGAAATCAACAGCAACCATTAACCACTCGGCTGTTCAAATTAATTAACAGGAAACACTTCCATTTGGAAAAAGAAAACGTAAGGATTTTGATGAAAATTCTTGAAAAATAGGAAATCCACCAAGATTTCCTGCAAGCTACTTCTACTCAGCATTTCCCCCACACACATAAATATAAAAGAGCTCTAAACAATCTCCCCTACTCCTTAAGCTTCTTGGGGAAAGCAGGAGAAAGTCAGCACTCGTCACTGGATGAATAAAACCACATTTCACTTATTCTAAAGGGAGGAGATGTCTCAGGTAGGGGCTGTTTTCTTCCCTGTCTCATTTGCCCTTGTTTGCATCAAACTTGATGGGATAAGCAGCCTGTTCCCAAAGCCTTCTCCCATTAACTGCAAGACTCAGTGCATACCACGGCAGTGTCCTTTCCTCAGGTTGCATGGTTCACATTCTGTATGCACTTGTCGCTGAGGTTGCTAGCCATCAGTGGCTTTCATTTCAAACATAATTGGAATCTTAAATGTTAGCCAAGGTGCCTGGACAGACAGAGAGGGGAAGAGAGGGTGGATTTGATTTGATTTCGTTGACCAGCATAAATTCTTTGTGAAGGAGAAAGTTCCCGTAGCGGCAGGGGAGAGGCAGCAGACTTAAGTGTTATCTGAGTCATATTCTGACCCTTCTTCATAGTCCTGGCACATCCTGAGTGTGATAATGCTGGTGGCAGAAAGGGGAATGGGATCTTTGTCACACCTCTGTGTCTCAGAGAAACCCCACTGATAAAGGGGTCCCATGAACCCAGCCCTGCCCAGGGACTGAGGTGAGGGTACCTGTGGGGTTTACCTGTCCTGACCTCATTCACTATCGTCTGCAGCACTGCCTGCATTGGGGCACTCTGTGCTGCAGACCTTGTTCCTGGACGTGCCTACGCCTGAATCCCAGGATCCTTCCCTCCTTGGGAGCCACCATCAGACTATAACTATTGTCATCAGACTATTGTCATCAGACTATTGTCAATGTGCAGATGCCCCAGGCCCTGCTACTGCAGAGGAGATGAGCACTGACTTTTGGGGTGGTTGGTGAGGTGGGACCTGCCTGGTGACACAGCATTTGATCCCACTCCTTGAGCAGTGTTGGGAGGGCAGAGCCTGGCAGTGCCCACAGGCTGACACCACTACTTTCTCTACATCCACTAGATGCCTTGCCAAAGAGCAGTGTAAATGGACAGAGGAGGGAAAAGTTGCTTTTGCACATCTCTGCCCCATTCTCTCACTTCATCTTCTACTTTTTACTTTCTCCTGCCTTTTTTTCTTTGAGTTCTTTCCAGCACAGAGCATTTTTACACACCTTTGCCTTTAATAACAGAGAGAACAAGCAATTCCTTACACAAGTAAAAAGAAATCACACACACCAATGTAATGAGACAGGATTTTTAATCTCCCTTTTCATTCAGGTGCAATTGTTTTAGATTATTACATCTTTATACGTCCTCCTAATGTTCCCTTTGGCTAAAATAAAGGGATTTCTCTAAATACCTTGCTGCCCAACCCTATTACCAAAGGACCCCAGCAGCAGAGCGTTATCGGCCCTGAGATGGGTATCGATACCACGCCATGAACAGCAGCTTTAGACATGGTCAGAGAGAAAACATCACTAAATATCATGTTAGAGCTTCTCTTTTATATCACTTTTAATAGTTCCTGATGAAACATGAGCTCAGGGGGAGGCTGACAGAGCAAAAGGAACCAAATACTTGTTGGATAACTGAGTACAGATGCAAGTGAAGGATGGCATGGAACTGAAAGGGTTTCCAGACAGTTTCCATCACCTCCCGAGTAGGTGATGAGAGAAGGGGAGAGACAGGAGAAGCATTTTCAGAGAGCAATGTGAAATGTCCTGCTGCACCTGTGCTTAGCTCTCTACCATGCTCCAAACCACACCAAGGTTTTAGGGGGAAATTGGTTGCTTTGCCTTCTGAATTATCATTTCTAGGGAGATGGGTGGCGTTTTACAAAGTTTTATGATTAAAATGCTTGTTCAGGAAGTAATTATAAAGACCATGTGAAAGATAACCAGCCATTTGATGGGCAGACAGTTGGGTATTTGGTATTTTTCCCTCCCTAAAGTGTGATGTTTATTATTTCACGGGTAAAAAGCATAAAGGGAAACCCACGAAAAGGAAGCAAACTTACACAGGACAATAATCTGTATTTTATATATTAAGCAGATTTTTTCCTCGCAAAACCGCATATCCCATAATCCAAAAAAAAACCACCAAAAGTGCCCATGACACCAAATTAAAAACAAAGCTAGGAAAACAGGATTAAATAACCGAAGGAGACACCGACACGGCATCCGGTTGCTGGTGCAGCAGGGGCTGCGCAGCTAACGTCTGAGCAAGCACAGCCTCTCCTCCAGGATTTTCCCGAGGAAAACCCCAGTTTTCCCATTGGAAACGAGGGGCCTCCACCTCGCTCCCAAACCAGCAGCTCGCCGGGGGGGGGGGGAATAAATAGCATTTAAAATATCTTAATTTACCTGGAAATTAAAAGCATTTCCCTGGCAAGAAGATAAAGGCAAAGCGGCGGCTGCAAGACGGAGCTCAGGGAGGCTTTGGAGCAAACGCAGGCAAGGAGAAAACAGGAGCCAAACGCTGCTCTGGGGCATCTTTGGGAGGAAAAGAGGAGTATCCGAATGGTGATTCGCACCTGGAGGCCGGGAAGCAATCAGGCTGAAATCACCGGTGCAGGTGGCTCTCCAAGCGGTTCTCTTTTGCTCGCTGGGATTGCGTCTGCTCCGAGCAATGATCGAGTTATTCGTGGTGCTCCCCCTTTCCCCTCCCTGTATCGGATTAAACAAACGGTAGTTTTTGTCTTACCTGTTTCTTTGGAAGGCGTTTCCATAATTGTTTTCCTTGGTTTTTTGTTTTTTTTTTTTTGGAGGATGTGCGTGTCCTGGAAGCTCTGCCCGGGATAAATCCGGGATAAACGCGACCTGCCCGCCGCTCCCAGTAACCATAACACGCTGCCACGGGTGCACATTTATTTCAAAACCGAGGAAAGTTGGGGGAACGGAGAGAAGTCCCATATTTCGTAGGGAAAAGGGGAAACTTAAAAGGGAACTCGCCTTATTCCGCTCTGCCTCACTAGACTTCTAGGGCTGATACCGAGGGGCAGCCGACGGTACCGCGGAGCATCACTGCCTCCTCCCGCATCACCACCTCCTCCCCAAAACGTGATCCCCTCCCCTCTGGCACTGCTCAGGGCTGGGAGATAGGGGCAGTTTGCCGGGCCGGGCCAAAGCCGCCCCGGGCCCCTGCGCAACTAGAGGCGATGGGGACCGGCGCAGAGGTCCCCCTCCTCCAGGATGTCCACCTCATCCTCGGGGTCCTGGAGCAGGAATGGGCCTGGAGGGCCCTTGCGAGGCTCGGTGCCGGCCGCCTCTGGCAGCTCGGGTTCGGGGGAGCTCTGCTCCCGGTTCTCCTCGCTTCCGGGGTGCTTGGGATCCTCCTGGGTTTTCCGCAGCTGTTTTTTGTGCTTCATCCGCCGGTTCTGGAACCACGTTTTCACCTGGGGAGAGCATCAGGAGGGGGAAAATAATAGCGGTAAAGAGAAACGAGAAGGAAAAGGTGAGGATGCCACATGGGATACGGGAATGGGGCAGACGCCGGTCTCTCCGCCCGGTACCTGGGTCTCGGAGAGGCTGAGCGCCGTGGCCAGCTCCACCCGCTCGGGCGTGGAGAGGTACCGCTGGATCTCAAACCTCTTCTCCAAGCCGGAGAGCTGCGAGTCGGAGAAAACGGTGCGGGCTTTGCGGCGGCGGCAATGCTTCCCGGGCAGCTCGGCGTGAGCGTGGGGCTGGAAGAGGGCTGGCACCGGCATTCCTGGAGGGACACACGGCCGAGACCCGGGTGGGCTGCAGCTCCCGGAGCTGGGCTCTCCCCCTGCCCCCCTTAGCTTTTAATGACTTTTTCGTTTACATCGTTTTTAAGGTCGTTTTATTGATTTAGGGGATTTTCTTGCTCTAAAAACAAAGCTTTTCGCCCCTGCTGAACCCTTCCCAAGCAAAGCAAAGGCAGCCTGAGCAGTGCTGCCTTAAGCAGAGCCGGAGCGGTCAGCCCGGACAGAAAAACCTTCACTCTCCTGGCAATCAAACCACAACGAAAAGAAAGAAGGAAAACCGAGGACAGCGCTGGAAAAGGCTGGGAGGAAAACGATCCTCCCGGCTCCACGGCTGCGCAACTTCCCATCTCACTTGGGATGCCCAGTGAGGAACTTTGGAGGAGGATTTGTTTCCTTCCTTCCTTCCCTTCAGAGCCCGGGGAAGGATGGCAAAGCCCCGGGTTCCAGCCGGGCAGGAGGAGCCTCTCTCCCGGCCCCTGGATGCAGAGCCAGAGAAGCCCTAGCGGTGCTGCTGGAGGTGGAAAAATCAAAGCCCGGGCACTGTCTGGAGGGATAACGCAAGGAAAAAGAGATGTTACCGGTCAGAAAATAAAAGCAATAAATGGAATATAAATGGAAAGAGAAGGAGACCCTCGAGATATCGGGCAATTGGATGGATGGCAACCTGCAGCTCCGTGCGCTCCTTTCCCTGATAACGAAGCGGGGAACAGCAGCCCGGATCCAGGTGAAGGATGCAGAAAGATGCCCGGAGGGGCTTGTCCCGTCCGGGCTGTGGCCTCTTTTCCCCACCCGGGTCCGCCTGGCCACAAACTCCGCAGGTTCCTTCCCGCGAAGGGCTGCACTTACCCGAGGTGGTGAGGAAATAGGGGTGATGGTGATGCTCCGGCTTGTGCAGAGCAGGGTGCGGGTGAGGCGCCAGGAGGGTCGGGGTTGGCATCAGGGGGTACCCATAGTCCAAGAGGGGGACGCGAGAGGCCAAGGAGCCGGGGAAGTGCTCGGGAGCCACCTCCCGCAAGGGCTTGGGCTTGTGCAGCAGGATGTCCTCGATGAAGAAGGATGTGGGCCTAGGCGCGGAGACGGGGTGCACTGGCGAGGTGAAGTTGAGGTTCATTTCGGTTGTGGTCCCCTTGGGCAGCAGGGAAGGGAGCGAGGCGCGCTGAGAAAGAGGGATGCAGGGGGCGAGGAAGCCGCGGGGCCGGGGGTGATAAATAGAAATAATTATAATAATGAATAAATTATATTTTTTTTTAAAGGGAGAAAAAATAAATAGCGATAATAATAATTAAAAATAAATATGCCCCCCAGCCAGAAATGAAGGGAAGAGCCGGGGGATGCGATGCGGGCGGGCTCGGGCTGTGCGGGGAGATGCGCGCCTTTGAGGCGCGGGAGAAAGGGGGGTCTCCGGCGAACCAATCGCCATCGGCCGGGCGGGGGGAACGGGCCCTCCGGGCCACCCAAACCGCGCAGGGGACGCGGAGCCGCTTGGGGTTCGGGGGGGGGGGGGGGACACGGACGCGCAGTCTGCCCCCGGCGCACCGCACCTCAGCCCCGCAGCGCAGCGCAGCGCAACCCACTCTCAGCCCCGGTGCGAGCGGTGGAGTCGGAGCTTTTTCCCAAACACAAGTGTTTTATCCTCTTGCTTTTGTAAAGGCAAAAACTGGGGGGGGGATAAATCACTGCGCTTTGCTGAGCTGCCCCCCACGCTCCGCTCCTAACTTGTCCCTTGCAGTTTGTCCCTTCCGCTCAAGTTATTACCCCGCTGGGGTTTTGTTCCCGTCCATTCCCCACTCAGTGTTGTGCTAACTCTCCTTTTCTGTTTGTCTTCTATTCCCCCCCCCACCCCGTAATCTGTAACATTCATTTCCCCGGAGTCAATTTGCTAAAATGAGGGTGATACGCCACATCATAGCAGAGATAATTTCGGTGCGCATCGCAGAAAATTGCTCTAATTATTGATGTTAAACTCAGGGAAATTAAAAGAAGGCGCTTCTCCTTCATCTCCCGATTTTAAGCTCTAATTTGTTGAAATCGAGTTGCCATCACAATTCCAATCACTACCGTTAATAGTAAAAGTGTTCTAATAGAGGCAGAATTCGCGCAACCCATGCTATTAGATAATTAAGAAAGATGTTAGAAAGGCAAGTGCTAATCCTTGGGCACATGGACAGCATTTCCATCTGATCCAGCAGGTAGAACAAATTAATTACCAGAATCAATTAGTCCTAAAAGTACAGTTCTCAGGGAAGTGTAAGCCATGTCTTCCATATGGATGAGCTGGTAAATGGCAAATAGATGGGGGGAAACCTTCAAAAGAATAGAAATGGCAATCCTCCGGCTTTAATGAAGGCGGAACTCGGCTTTTCCAGCGGTGCCCGATGCCTCACCGGGAGAAGCCACGGGAGCCTTTATATAAAGGCAGTGCGTGTTACAGCCGCTTCGCTTCCACGCGTGGATATACACATATATATGTATATATCTAAACATCAGCGGGTGCCACAGAGGCAGGAGCGCTCCGGGAGGGACGGGGCTTGCTGCCTCCCCTTGTGTTGCCACAAAATTCCCTATTTTTCTCCAGGAAACCCCCCTAAAGTTAAAACCCAATAACAAACCTGTTGCAGGATCCCCTCCCAAAACGCCCATTGCAGCATCAGCCGGGAATTTGGCCGGGGGGGGGGGTGTGTGTGTGTGTGTATGTGTTAAAAATACAACAGGCTAACAACTTTCTCTGAGGAGCAAATGAGTAAAGCAAATGAATTAACAGTGATGAAATGGGTCTAATGCCCACCTTGTTAACGGAGGGACAGCGGCCCGGGGCATGTAAGCTGCTTGACTGGCCATTTCATCAGCTGGGATTGCTTCTCCGGGGGGGGGGGTCTGAGGCTTTACTCATCACTGGGGTGTGTGTATGTATGTATTTAAAGGAGATCTGAAAGATTAAAGACATATTACTTCAGCCAGATTGGGCTTTAGGACTCAGGCAAGCGTTTACCTACTGACAGCCACATCCAGAGGGGCTCCCACTGCAGTCCTCACACCCAGGGACTATTTAAACTTCACATTTCACGACTTTGTGACAGGAAGCGGGTGCCGGGTGCTTCCCACCATCCGCAGGCATTGTTAGCATCTTTGCCCAACAAACCTCTCACCTCTCTTTCCCCTTTTTGGTCTTTTCTGCCATAAAAGCATAGTGATGGGGATCCAGCAGTATGGATCCCACCCTGAGACCCTAAAACGCTCTCAATCCTGGCTGCATCCATCCCCAGGATTAGCCCTTTTTACTGGCTGCCAAACACATGCACACATAGGTACTTCTATGTAACAGTTCCATTTGCTGCCAAATACACGGGTGAGTCAGGTCTTCAAATAAAACCTTTGTAGCCTCCTTTCAACGGAGCAGGGTCCCCCTTTGAGGCAGTGCCACCGCTTTTACCCAGATTTGGCAGAAACTTCCCCAAACCTGGGTAGAAGATGAGCTAAGGGTGGGAGAACAGGATGGACTAGGCTCAGTGCAAGGCAGGGAGAAGCAGCAGGTTTGGCTGCTTTACTCACCGTGTGTTTCCCCTCCCATGGAGGGGGCAGCCGAATTACCCATTGATGCTGCGCTCTCGCGTCCTCCCTCAAACACATTGTGGGACTGCATAACGTCTCAGCCTGGAACCCCGAACAGGGCTCCTGCAGAGGCACGTGTCTGTGAAGCCAGGTAGCCACACAACAATGGAGTTAGCTTGTTGTCCCTTCAATAATATACACTATTTCTAATGGCTAAAAGAGCTTTATACACTTCGCTGGTAGCATAACAGAGGCACACATAACCCCCCTGTATGTATAGACACGCACCCCCTTTAACGATTTAATAATACACGTGTGCTTTGCTTACATAACCACTGGTTGTCATTACTTGCACACTTAAGATCATTTGAAGCTATTACAGGAGAATTTTGCCTAGGAAACCAGAAATTTATTTGACTTAAAACCGAGGGGGTCATTTAAAAGGTTGGTGCAGCTCTGTTGATGTTAAAGGCTTTATTTCAGCATGTTGCATTAAGGATAAATTTGGTGTGGTTTAAAAATACATGCACTTACCTTCCCGTGGCTCTTGAAGAGGTAAGGTAGCTTGGGAGCCCAGCCTTTTCATGCCTTTCAAGACGAATCCACTCAAAAAGGAAGGGTTAAATTAAAACCAGACAGCCTCAATATGATCAAAATGGGAGCCTGGCTGCAGGAAAGAGGTCTGAAGAGCTCAGTTGGAGTAGCCACACGCATAACATAGAGAGAGGTCTTTTGAACACAAAGCATGGCTTAATGGAGAGTGTTCCATGCGTGATGCTTCAGGCAAAACCGCTCCCCACCCTGAAGGAACAGGGTGCCTTTGCCTAGAGCTAAAAACACTCCTGTCTTTCACTGCAGCCCCTTCCTAACTTTCTTTGCCCACATCTCCCATTTCTCCACAGGTCTCCCAGCACCCTGCAAACTCCTCATGGAAAATCATGGCTCCTGGGAGCAGGGATGCTGGGTTCATGATGACAGATTCTATACCCCCAGCTTAACTGACATAACATCAAGGCAGTGGTGGGAAGCCCCTTTGGGACTGAGGTCTGCACTAGAAGCCTTTACTGGCGTTTCAGTGTTCGCAAGCATGCCTTGCCACCAGCTCAACTTCAAGGAAGACTCAGTGGATGGGCTGCCTATTACAGCACCTGGTAGGTTGTTTCAGGATGGGCTGAGAGAAGGTGGGAGGAGAAAGAGTGTCAAAGAGGAGTTTACCTCCTAACCAGGGTTGATGGCAGCACCAGAAGATCCATCCAGGTCTTCCAAGGCTCATAACTCTGCCACCCCTTGGCTTTCGCTGCCACGAAAGGTAGCCTATGGACTGGCATTCTCCATCACGTGTAGCTGAGATGAAGTCAGAATGTGAAACAGAGAAGTAATCAGCCTGTTGGTTGTATCCCAAGACAGTGGTTAAAAGCTGGGTCTGTGTTATTCTGACAGAGTCACTGAATCTACCACAAACATCACTGTAATCTCAGGGCTACAGTTCTAGGTAAAAAGCACAGGGGGAGACGGGAGTGTTGCTGATGCAAGGGAACCACATTAAGAAGTGATTGACACAGGAAAGTATTTTGAGGCTTGTATCATTACCAATAACAGCAAGAATGTCAGGGATAAAACCAGATATGGCATCAATGACCAGCAAAACAATATCTAAAGAGTAAGAGCTTAGACTGCAGATCCCTCACAGGGCTCCCGAACCCAGCTATCTATGCATGGGCTCAGAGAGTGCATTCCTAAACCCAGAATGTTATCTCTGTACTGAAATTTTGCCTCATTAGCTGATAATCCTGAGAATGTCTGAAGGCAGGGTGCTTGCAAAAAGACAATGAATGTGTTAATGTCTATAGGTTTGGTCTAAAGGCTTCCCCTAAAACAGCGACTCTTTTAAGACCTCGGATCTTTTTAGTTACCTAATATACGTTTCCAACTTCAGCAGGGTTATCTGTGCTGCTCCAGACCACAGCGAGATTATTCCTGCTTGCTTCCTTTTCAGTGAGTCAGAAATGGGGAGGGAGGCTTAGAAGTTTCCCTGGGACCAGCTTTCAATTACTCTTCTCTTCATTTGGTTACATATCAATTCCTCCTCATCGTGTGACCAGCCCATGGGCCTTGCTTACTCCCTCGAGGCGAAGGTGATTATTTCACCCAAGACCATCTGTACTTTGGGATCTCTGCTAATCCTTTGCTCTCAGAAAAATCCATTCTTGCTGCCCTAGCCACTGCTTTGCTGCTGCCTTCTGCACTTTAATGCTTATTTGCTTCCTTTCATTCCAGCTGTGTTACAATCATCTGCACAACTCGAGAGTTTGATTCACTTTTTTGCTTTAATGACTCAGAACCTCCCTTGTTTCCCTAATTTCGTGACATATGAACCTTGTACATCCTTGTTTTTAACCTTCGGGGCAGGATAATCCCCCTGTCTCATCCATTCAACCTTTATTTTAGTCCCATTGTTTTCCTACCGTTCTTTGTCTTTTTCCTTTGATTATTTCTCATACTCTTTCTGTAGCTCCACGTTCCTCTTGAAAACCCCATATGCCTTTTCTACTTAGAGGAATACTCTGAATATAGTATTGGCAGAAAACAGAAGTAACTTATACAAAAGCCAATGGCTCATATGTATCTAAATGACACAAATACTTTGCTGCTTTTCAATCCCTCTCTTTACTTCCCGGCTTTAAAGTGTCTCATTTGGAGGCCTTAAAAGTAAAAACCACACAAACGATGCATTCCAAGGTCAGGGGAAGCTGCTATGACACCCAGTCTCACCCTCTGAATCACCTAAGTCAGAGTTTCAGCCAGTAACTACTGTATTGAATTCAGAGAAGACATTGAACCCAGGGAGCCTGTGCAATAACAGTACCAGTCTTCTAACTCTTTATATTATATTTGGAACATCACAATATGTACATAAGAAATAAATGCTTAGAAATCAGGTGAATGAGCCACTTTCCTCCTATCTCTACCAAGCTTCTCTATTCATCTGTATATTATGACTGAAGATCTGTGATTATTTACAAACTCTACACTAAGCTGTTGTAAATATCATTCAGCCCTCAATTAAAAGGTCAATTTCTACTGGAGTAGCTTTATAAACTGCTCAGAACAAGTCTCAACATCCTGCGTTGCATGCAAACTGTTATATCCTCTTACACTGAGATTGAAGGTGTACACAAATGTGTACACTCATCTCTCACTCCATGCGTGTCACATGCACAGTGACGGTCACAAAGTGATGCTGTCTTAGCTGATTATTTTGTTAAAAGAAGAGGAATCATTCTTTAGTGAAAGATAATTAAACCTTTTCCTTTCATGTTTGCTCCAAACGTGATTGCAAAACTAGTTGGACCTAGTTTACTAAAAGATAACCTTTTTGATGATCAAAGGAAGAGATTGGTTCCATTACTTGCATTAGTCAGAGTTGTCTGTGCTGTGGCCTTCAGAATAAAGGGAGAAATGTACTTTAGAAAGATCTGAGTAACACACTTTACTCGAAGCATTTTTATATTATATAGCTTCTTGACTGTTTCAGCTTACTCTGTATCTGTGCACTTCATTTTAAGCACTCCAGAAGTGGATGACAGGTCTGGGGGAAAACAGATAGAATCCAGTCAACATCTCACAAATGCATCTTCAAATAATGCCTTAAAAGTGGAAATTACATTTGGAAATGGTATTCAAATGGCGATCTGATGTAAGAGAATATAGTCCAATGTTAAAAATACTTTGTCACATTTGTCAATGTTATTTTTAAATGGAAATGTTAAAGTGTGCTTGGTCACCTGAAACAAGTAATTCAGGCAGATGCCTCATAATAAATTAGTAAGTTAATATTTGGATGATCATAGAATCCTAAAATGGTTTGGTTGGAAGGGACCTTAAAGCTCATCCAGTTCCAACCCCCTGCCATGGGCAGGGACACCTTCCACTAGGGCAGGTTGGTCCAGCCTGGCCTTGAACACTGCCAGGGATGGGGCAGCCACAGCTTCTCTGAGCAACTTCTGTGGTTTTACCACACCTCAAAGGATAAACTCAATTTAGTTAGTTCTGCAATATTTGGTTCTTTCCAGCTATTCCTCACTCTTTCTGATATCCCATTTTAATATGATTTCGTGCTAAAAGACCCTGAGGCTTACACATCCCTTTCTAACTCTCCTCTTTCCCCTTACCATGGTAAGGTTGCAGCAGAGCAGCCCGTTTCAGTCACATTGGCTGGACAATCAGCAGTTCCAAACATGCACTTTCCCAAAACGTTTCACAAGTAAGTGACTGAACAGAAGGCAGGGACTTCATTATTGCAGTGTGAGGCTGGAGGATCCACACTAACCCCTCGCTCCCCCAAAACCCCATCGCTTCTTTAGGGTCTGGTGTGGCAAAAGCACAGGAGTTAGCTCACAGGAGGGTGCAGTAGCTGGGGAGAGAAATGCAGCTGAAAAGCTGACCATGGTTTTTCATGCTGAAAGAAAGCAGGGATCCCCTTCCAGCCATTCCCTGCTGTCAGAGTGTTGGCACCTAACACAGCTAACAGGCTCCCTCTTCAGTTACTGGAGAAAGCGAGGTTCCTCAGGGGGACGGGGGATGTATGGCCAGGGCCTATTCAAGCAACAGGACAGCACTATAGGATCATCTTTAATTAACTGTTAGAGTCTATCAGTGCGTCTAAGAGGAGCAGCAACTTCCTGACAGACATAACTGGACTATGGGATCAGTTTTGCATCTTGCGTGCATGCTGAAGAGTTTTCTATACGGGATAAATGCATTCTGGATAAGAAAAGAGACTTCTGTATGTCGAGTTTTCCAAGGACCAGCTCCCCCTCCCCACACCCCCCAGTAGACAAATCACTACATACAGAGTTTGGCATTTCTTTTAGGAGAAGCATGATGGAAAACTGCACAGACTGATTCTTTACTTATGGGGCACACAAGTTTGATTCCGTTTTGCTCTGGGTTTAGCTTCCTTTTAGATAATACCTTAATAAGGAGTTGTGGAGCTTCCTAGTTCATAAATATATTATCTGCTTTCCAAAGCTGATGTTAGAAACGATCAGCGCAATGGAATCACTAGGCTCACCAATGCAAAGAAAGGATTTGTTCAATGCCAAAACGTGCTTTAGTTTTGTTTTGACTTTAGGGAGAGGGAATCAAGACTTGGCATTCAACAGCCTACAGCCATCGTTGCAAATTAACTTGCTGTTTGTTATTACAGATGGAAAATTAAACCTACAAGTCCAACAGGTCAAGAGCCATAAGCTTGAATGGAGGAAAACAGCAGCACAATTACGAGAAACAACATATCATGCCTTAGAATATCATAACCTTGTGCATCTTTCTCACAGGTCCCAACAGGAGACGCGTGTGTGCACGCTTGCATGTGGGCTCGGCTGTGCATTTCCAACCGAGATCAGTCCTTGAGTCTCCAAGTAAGTGCAAAAAGGAGAATTTTCCAGTTTGCATCCTCGGGCAAATGCAATTTCCCTCCCAACACACATTAAATTCATTTAGCCTAGTGCATTTTTAATAGACATTATTCATCTATTACCTTAATGAGCTTGTGGTGAAAGCATATTGCCTCCCAATTTTAACAAAAGCAGTCTAATATTGCTGCAGCTTTTTCCCCTTTTGCCTTCTAAGGCAGCAGCACGGAGGGGGGAAGAAAAAAAGCTATAGAGACAGATAAGGTTTTTATTCTGAGTCACAACACTACATTAAGAATAAAACCTTCCACTTAAACACTTAAATGAAAACATCGAGAAACTAATTTACCATTTGTAACCACATGATTTAAGTAGGAGCAGCTTTAATTTTCTTCCCATTTTCCTCATATTCAATGTGAGCCCACATTAGATTTCACTGGCTCAAATCACAACACTTAAAGCCACTTTCATTTTCTTTTTGATTAAATAATTGAAATTCCTGTCACTGCCTGCACTTTACTAGCACACAAATTTTATGTGTAAAGATAAATACTCTTTTTTTTTTCTCCCTTCCCTGCTCATAGGCTTTTTTCCCCCCTCTTTTTTTTTTTACCCTTTTTTTTCAGTTTAATCTTAAAAGCAGGCAAGGTTTAGTTTATTGATGGTTCCATAAAATGGATCAGTGCTCCATTCACCTATTTCACGGAATTATACCGCTCCCATTAAGTGATTGTTTGGAGAAATTATGGAAAGCCATCTTCTCTAATTTAGCTGTCATCGTGGTAGGGTTATTGCTATCCAATCCTAAAAGGACAGGAAGCCCGGTTACTCGTGTGCTCTTCCCTCTCCCACACGCACATCCATTAATGTCTGAAGCCTTGATTTTTATTGAAGTATTTGTTTCAATTAGGGTAACAAGTCTTATTA